GAACCAGACACCACAAGCCGCCACCATCACCAAAATTACCACCACCACCACCACCACCACCACCACCACCACGCTGCGACTACGGCTTCGACTACGACCACGACGACGACTACAACGAAATACGACTGCGAGCACGACTACAACAAGGTCTGCGACTGCGACCGCGACCACGACCGGGAGGGCGACGACGACATCGACCACTACTACTGCTACTTCTTCTTCTTCATTAGGTAGTGCAAGAACAAGTGCAAGAGCTCTCAATGTCACAGTTTTTTACCCACACCATAGCTACAAGCGAGACAGATCATAGACCTCTTGATCTTGCGGTTCCTGTGCGTCACCGCGTGCTGAAGAAGTGCAAGCCAATTTGCGCCAACACCAGCGCCGCAGCAACGTAGTCCAGCAAACCCTTCAGCTTGCCTCAGTAGCGAATTGTTATTTTAGCCTTCATGACTGAGACGATCCGCTCCACCAGTCATAAGGAACGTGGAAACCAACGGAGCTTCTGAAGTGTGGCGGCGTAAACTTAACGCAACCGGACTACCAACAAACCTTCTGAGATTAGGTTCCGGCAGGAATAGGTTCAATGCGTCTTCCAAGAACGGAGGCGTGATTCGAGGAACTACCGACGAAACAGCACGACGAGTTCTCCCCGAGGCAAACGCTTCTTCGGAAAGAGAACCCCGCACAACTAGAGTCTAACGTGTTCTTCCCTTCCAGAAAAAAAAAGAAAAAACCGACTATGACAGCCGAGTGGCTGATAACGGCTTTCTTCCTCATGCCATGTTCGCCCACCAACTTCTGCGCATCATTCTTATTCCTTCTTTCGCGAGCGGGTTTTTGGATCTGGACTGAGTTTGATAGCTTCTTCCTTCTTCCGACAATCCGTAAAAATGTCGCGCATCTGTCAAAAAAAAAACACAGCTGCAGCCAGGGTCGAGTAGGACTCGGCGGACATCCAGGAGCGCAGCATGGAAACCCCGCGGTAGGACCCGCGCTTCCTGGGAGAGGCCCCGAGCTTTGAGCTTTTGCTGCTCAGGCGAGCCCCCCAAAAGCTTTTACAAATCCAAATCCTCTGAATGAGCTTGCCTGGCTCACTGCTCATGTTGGTGTGATGAATTGGCTCTTTGCGGTTCTGCCCGGTTTGCGTGTTGCACATGGTACCACGGTGCTTGAGCTTGAGATCTGCGCACCTCATAGTTGTTCATGCTTTCTGCCTTTACTGCCGTTGTTTCCTGGTTGCCTGTAGGTTTTCCATGGTTTTCATATTGGTAGACACGGTTTCGACTGAGATTGGTAGACACCGTCCACCTTGAGAACAGGAAAACTTGACTTCAAAACAGTATCCACTGCTCAAACACAGTTCAAGCTGGCAGAACGGCTCGGATTATTCAGGCACGTGAACCTTGTCAAAGTCACAGATTAGACGACCCACGTGAGTGGCTGGGGACCTGATTGCACTTCTGGCGCCATGTCATCTTGTACCGATTGGGTGTCTACGGAGTTTGCGTGCAAAACAGGGGCCAACGTCATCTTTGCTGATGACTGTCAGTTGTTCAACTCAACCGACATTATTGTCGCCGTAATCGGCAAGACCTTCGTGACCGAGGGCGAACTTAAACCCTTGTTGTCAACGCCATCTGCTAGTATGACATTGACTTCATACTCACGACTGTGTGCAGGTGCCGTTGCTGCTACGGCTGCTACGACTGTGCTGCTGTGCTGCTACTGCTACTGCAACAGGCGCAAGCACGAGCACATGTGGAAAGCATTTGCCCTCCTGCTGACAAGAACGTCCAGGCAAGCACTGCGTAGAACCATACAAGATCCATGTGCTAAGACTGCGCTGGGGGGCATGGAGCCGAGCAACTCTTCCTGCTGTTGCTGTGTTGCCTCGGCTTGCTCTTTCGTGGCCTTCGCGGCCTCTGCGGCCTGCGCGGCCTGCACGTATTGCGACACGAGCGATACTCCTGTTCGACTGCAAGTCGTTATCCATCTGGGCTACAGCATGGCCACAGTTCATTATCTGTTCGATGCCACAAATTCGGCTTAAAATGACAAGTTGTGTCACTCCTTCTCTCTCTGCAGCCCTCCATTAGCCTCTGCGGGCTGAAAGTTTTAGGGCTCGGTCTGCCTCGGTAGCTTTCGCAACAAGCACGCAGTCCTCAAAGGTGATAGTAGAGGAGGCTTTTGATTCCCGGTGACAATGGCTAAGCTGACGGTTGCCGAAAAAGCCAGCTTAGCTTCCCAAACTCGTCATGTTGGGACTATGCGGGGAGCGGGGCGAAACTTTCAAGCTGCCTGCGCTGCAACTCTCTATGAAAGCCCTACGAAGCTGACCAGCCTGGCAAGCGCTTGCGATCTCGTTCCCCCTGTCCTCCTCATCCTCGCAGCACCGCCATTGTCGAAAACAAAAGCCCCGCTTGCAAGCCTGAACCAACCAGAGGCCCAAGATCTGATGCAGTGCCGAAGGGCCAGGTAAGGATGGTCTGGAGCTCTGGCGGCGAACTCCGCCATCAACTCGTGGGCAGAGCTGAAGCTTCTCGCCTGGCACAGATCTTGATGTTGAGGTCATGACTCCGTCCTAGCAAGCGGACAGTGAGATACCTCCTGTGCCTTCGCCCTGAAAAGCACGACGAGACACCGCTACAAAAATGCTCTCCCGCGAAGTGCGAACCGGCAGCCGACGGGCCTTTTCAACCGGGCGTTCTCTGCTCGCCAGCATCTCCTAGGTTGCATTAGCATGGGCAGGAATCCCCCCTCATGCAGACTTTCCAGCCTGGCGGTGATGGTTTCGGGGGATCCAGGTGCGGCTACCACGCTAACAACTGCTGTATCCAATAGTGATAGATTCGGCCGTCCTGCAAAATAAACAAACAAAATCAGACCCGTGTCTTCTGTCGTTTAACTTCAACACCAGCCATATTCAGAGACAGCTGTTTTATGGAGCAAGACGCCGACATGATTTAGAGCCGTGCTGATCCCAAGGCGATCAAGTCTCGAAGGTGCGCTGCACTGTCGCAACGAGCTCCATGTGTTGGCGGTCTGCAAGCCTCGACTATCTATCTATCTATCTGCACGGGTATGGAAAACAAGGCAGCACAAAGTAGACGTTAATGCTACAGTTTATGCTACATTGTTGCACTAGTGCATGTAGGTTTTATGAACGTCAAGGTATGGTTCGTGCCATACACCATAGCGTTGTTGTGCTGTATATTGCTTTTGCTTCATGGCCCAGGGCAGGGGAAAAGGTAGAACATGTCCGAGTGGGAGAGCAGAGAAAGGCGCGCCAAGCGGCGACAAAATGAGCTCTTGCTCCTTCGATATTGCCTGTAACAAGGACGGCTGGGACGCTTCCATTCTTCAACCGGGAAACTCTTCAGGTGCAGACGAGAACGCTTCACCAATGCTCAAAACTTCATGGGAACAACACTGGGAGTGTAGCACGCATCCCAAACTATCAAATTTACTAAACGGTATGTGTGTGCACGAGTCTACCACGTGGCAGGCCTCCAAAAACTCCACAAGAGTTGGGTCATTCGCCTGAATCGTCGGTGCCGGCATTGCGAGTCACAAGGCTCGAGCAAAGGTATGGCAGTTTGAAACGAGGGCGGTGTGACACCCAAACATCAGTACAGCGTTAAGGCCATCGCAAGATCTAGGTCTTTTGACGCACTGGAAACACGAACTCAGACATTACCCAAGCAGCTTCTAATGTGTGCCAAAGCACTTCCAACTTGATCTAGAAAGTCCCAACTTACATGTAGCTGCTTGGGTCCAGCATGCTAGGTCCTGGCCACACAGTTTTAAGCTGACGTGGCTGCGGTGAAGAGAGCATGGCTATCAACTGTCAATGGCGGGGTCGCCTCGTGTTGCAGGCTGATGAAATACCAGTGAGAACCCAAACATGAGAGCAGTCTCTCGCCAACAAGCGCCCGAAACACAAAGAGCCTCAGAATGCACGAGGTGCCTTGAAACCCCTAGTAAGGGCATCGGGCAGAGGGCTCCCTGGCTTCCCCGACAAAACCCTTTCCTTGCAGCATCGAGGCGGGCTGCTCGGAACAGCAAGCTGGGCCCAAAACCCTTGGTTCCCTTGACCCTGAGCCTCCAGAACTGTCGCCAGGCTGTAGACAGTCTGGAGAGTGTCCTCGGGCTGCAAACGACAGCAACGAGTAAGAGGAAGGTCACGAATGCACTGGAATCAATGTATTCACCTGCAAGGTTCTGCAGGCTAGCAGGCTAGCAGTTCCTGGAATGTTGACTCTAATGGAAGCATGGGTTTTTTTCCCTCCCACTTAGCAAGGACGAGCCCGAAGCATGGGTTTAGGGTTTAGGTCACACTCATGTGGCCTTTTCCGATCTAGGGGCTTAGGAAGTGCAGGGTCATGGCGTCTTACTTCAACAAATTGTTGTTGCCACCCGCGACCATATGCTATTCTACCCCCNNCCCCTGTTCTTTTCAACCCCCCACATCTTCAAATCAGCCCCGTCCTCTCTTTCCCCCTCTCCCCCGGCTGTCTCGCTCCAATCCAAAGTAATTGCTCGACCCCGACCCCCCTGTGCAATCCTGCTGCTGCTGCCCCTCTCCTCCTCATCCTCCTCCTCCT